GTGTTTGTTCTGCACCTGCATGGTGGCTCACAACTGTCTGTTAACTCCAGTTCCAGGGGGATAGAAACCCTCCTCCCTGACCTCCAGGCATACCTACAGTGCACAGCTAACCATGTGAGCAGAACATTCATACACATAAAATAAAACAAGTAAGTCTATATTTAAAATCTTGGCACAGGGCTAGGGAGATAGAGACAGGCAGATTCCTAGGGTTTATGGGTACATGAGAGGTTCCAGGCCAATGAGGGACCCTAACTAAAGAAAAAAATGTATATATAGCCTAAAGAATGATGTGGTCTAGGTACTGCTCCAAATGGCAGACTTTGAAGATCTGCCATGGAAGGCCTCACTCTCCCTGGAGAGCAGAAAGGGGATGGGATAGGGGTCTGTGGGGGGCAGGGGAGGAGGGGAGGGAGAGGGAACTGAGATTGACATGTAAAACAAGCTTGTTTCTAATTTAAATAAAAATCTGAGAGAGAAAAAAGAATGATGTGGAAGATTGTCTGTCCTCCAGCCAGACATTTGTCTGGGAGACAATAAATGAAACACACATCTGTTCACCTCAGAAAGGGAAACCTCCAACAGTCTAAAGTAATGACTGTACTAAGGTGTGACTTGGTGAACCAGTAAGTTTTTACTGGAGTTACTAACAGGAGTATGGCTAAGGGGTGACTCACAAGAAGCAGGGAGAACTCAAAAGCAGCTGCATCACCAAAGCCCACCTCAGCATGGGTGATGTTCACAAAGACTGCAAGTAACCTTGGAGCTCTTTTCAGCTTGCAGGTAGCTCGATAGTGTGAGATGTTCTTTCCTCTGAACTTGATAGTGGGAGATGCTCTTTCCTCTGAACTTGTTTTTTCCAGTCTCCAAACCCAGCAGTTGTTTGCTTCTTTTTCTAAATGCTAGTGAGACCCTCAAGAACCTTCCAGTTTTGTTCTCCCAAATATATGTCTGCTCACAAGACTTCCTGATGCCTCCTGCACAGAATGTTTCAATTGGAGGAAACCATCACACAAAAGCATGCAGTGCACATGTGCCTACATTAAAACATGTGTGGGCAGATACATTCTCACACACATGCACTTACCCTGCCATACCCAAGAAAATAAATTCTTTCATTTGCAACAGCACAGATGAAACATGTATGACGTGAAATCAGCTAGTCCTGCACAGGAACAATTCTCTATCTTCTCACATGTTGTAGGAATCTAAGTCAATCAAATTCATGGTGGCAGAGTTGAATGATGTACCTGGAAGGTATAGAGAATGGAGAGATGGTAAAGTGAGTTGAATTTTCAATTAGATGGGAGGAGGGACTTTTTGAGATTACTGCAATGGATGGGGACTACTATTAACAACAGGCTGCCATATGTTTCAAAATCTCTAAGGAAACATTTCAAATGTTCACAGCAGAAAACACCAGTATTTTAGCTGTCAGGTAAGTTAGTTCTCTTGATTTCATCATTCCATATTGCACACATATAATATTGTGCCTCCATATACATACGTAATTTTTCAATGTACAAGAAAATAGTGTAACTAAAGTACCAAATGTGAAAACAAGACATATTTGCTTTCCTCTCTAGTATGCTATCATTCATATCTATCCTTTCATACAGAAGTCTTGTGTAAAGGGAGCTACGAATTGAGATTACTGAAGGAAATGTCATGGAGTACAAATGAACCCCAGTCAATAGTCCTGTTCCCCAGCACCTGAAGCAACACTAATTTCCTAGTTCTGATTAGTGAATCCACAGCTTGATCCACAGTGCCTGTTTTCTTGAACTTTGTTTTCTCTTTTAACACCAGTAAGGAATATGGGGAGACAAACTGACAATTTCTGGTTCCCCAGATCCTGCCAAAACTATAGGTACATTGAGATTCACTGGAGCTGGAGAAATGGCTCAGCAGTTGCTGCTCTTCCAGAAGACACATCAGTACCCACATCCGGTGGCTCACAACCGCCTGTAACTTCAGCTCCAAGGAATCCAAACCCTCTTCTGGCCTTTTTTAGGCACCTGCAAACATGTCACACACATACAGAGCAAATACCAATATATATACTTTTAAAATAAAAATACAACCTTTTAAAATTCCTGTGTGTGTGTGTGTGTGTGTGTGTGTGTG